GAACCTCATGTACCATACAACCTTTAAGTTCGTGTGCTGTTAATAACCGTTCTTGTTGAAATCCTCTCTGACAAAATCTACAATGGAATAATTTTTCTTTGTGTTTATTGGTTTGTGCACTCATTAACTTGTGAAAGTCCTTTATTAATACATAATGGGTATTCTCATTATTCTCTATTAATAATAAGTTAATGTGACATGATGGTTTTTTAATTTCAGTTACTCTGTGAACTATTATTGTATTTGTTCCGTTTGGGTCTGTCTTATATACATTAACTGATATACTTTCTTTGTTTATTTGCTCAAATGTTTCAATATCTTCATTTGATGCTGGGAACATTACACCATCCCAATTAATTAGATTATCTTCTTGTTTAACTTTATTATAATGAAATAATCTCTCTGGGTGGTCTTTCTTGTATATATCATAAAATTTACATTGAACACAATATTTGAAACACATGTCGTCTTCATTCTTAATATTAATACATGCTCTCTTTTTCGCTATCCATTCTGGCAGGTTTATAAACCTGCCTGCTCTAGTTGGGTTGTATTTGTCATAATGTATTGTTATTTTTTCAACATGGTTTATCTTATAACCTGATTTGTTTAATGAACTGTTACCTATTTTGATTTCTATGTCTGATGCCATGTTATTAATTGTATTTGTTAGTTCTTCTTCGTTTAATATTGGATAAATTCTGCTCGTTATTTTGAATATAGCTTCTTCTTCTGTTTCCATATGTGTAAAAGCAAGGTCTACATCAATTCTTATTTTCATACTGTTGTTTCTTTGTAAAAATTCTTTCAGTCTTGGTTCTTGGTATTTCAAATGTGTTAATCCTCTAGTTCCTCTGAATAATTTTGATATGTTTGATATTGAATATGAATTAGCATAATTTTTAAATGCGCTTTGTTCTTCTGTGATTTTGGCTTTTTGTTTGATTGCATACTTTTTTAGTGCTTGTCTAACTGCTACGCCTTTGGTTGCATGTTTTAATATTTTAAATCTTTTGTATTCTTGTGATTTTGATATACTTGTGAGTTTGTTTTTTAATCTGTTTGAAAGTGGTTGTTCTTTGTTATAATGATATTGTTTACCGTCTATCAAAACCTTTTTGAGCTCTGTATTGTTGCGGGTTTTAATGTTGCCCCGCTGACTGTGAAATATAAAATCTAATATTTGATTGAAATCCGGTTCTACCATATAATAATAGGGCGGTTTTTCTTTAAGTAGTTTTGGGTGGGGTTTTGCGTTGGCAGATTTGGTTTTCTGGGTTTGGGTTGTAACATGACGTGAGGAACGAGCCTCGCGCTTGGTGACGCTCGGGTAGGTGTTTGTAGTCCGTCCTCTATAATCAGTATTTTCAAAAGTGAGGTTTTTTATTTTTTCTGTTGTTTTTGTCGGTGTTTTCTCTATATTTTGTGAGTGTTTTGTTTGTTTTGTAGGTTTTGATTGTGACTTTTCCCTCGGATAGGTGTTTTTAGTCCGTCCTCTATAATCAGTATTTTCAAAAGTGAGGGTTTTTATTTTTTCTGTTGTTTTTGTCAGCGTTTTCCCTATGTTTTGTGATGGTGTTTCTTTCAATGTGGTTACGTGCAGGGTTTGTTGTGAGAACCTACGGCAAGGCGGAATAAAAATCAACCGACAGGTTGTAAAGAAAAACTCGTTGTTTTTACCTCTATCGCCTGAAAAGGCGAAATTAAAAATGAAAAAAAAACTCCTAAACCGAAAGCCCTAAACCGAAAGCCCTAAACTGAAAGCCCTAAACCGAAAGTCCTAAACCCTAACGCAGACAAACTGAGGGCGGAGCAGAACCACTAAACTAAAGAACCCTATAACCCAAAACCCTGCAGGGCGCACCAATGTCTGGAACTTCTCGGTATGAGAGTTGTTGATGTTCACGTTGACCTGCCAAGCACACATTAAAATCACTTCAAACTGTGTTGAGCTATTTCTGTGAGTGTTTGCATCGTCCATTTTTGCATCTGTGTCCGCTTCGCCTGTGAGTGCCCTGCGGAAACCGAGACGGGTTTGCATGCCATCCTATCACCTTAAAGGGTTTAGGCTACCACCCTAAAGGGGGGTAGGCTACCACACTAACGGGGGGTAGGCTACCACACTAACGGGGGGGTAGGCTACCACCCTAAAGGGGGGTAGGCTACCACCCTAAAGGGGGGTAGGCTACCACCCTAAAGGAGGGCACACAAACGCTTGAAGGAGGGCAGACTTGCAACGTCGCCCTGAAATCAGCAAATGACACAGTTCTGCGTCTGGCTTTCAGTGATGCCCTGCGGAATGTTCCTTCGGGACATCTCGGCATCCACATCACGGAGGAACTTCTGATGGTCGTAGCGCGCCTCCGTGTTGTAAAAGTAGTGATACTTGCCGATGTAGACCTCCATCACAAAGCCGAGCATCTTGCCGTGCAAGGAGGAAAGGGCGAGGGATGCCTTGCGAACACTTGAGAGGGTAGGGAGCAAAAGGTCAATGACAGTTGCCAACCTCGCCTCCGACGTGTCCTTCTTGCCTGTGAACTTTTTGCCCATGATGTTCTGGATTTCCTTGAGCGCCTCCTCGGTTGCATTCATCAGGGAAACCTGCACCACGTCAGTGCCCTGACTGACCATCAGCTTCACCGCGTCAATCTTCTCGGACTGACCCTTTACGTAGTTCTGAAACTCCAAGGGGAACTCTGACAGCACATAGCTTTCGTCATCTTCCGTTGCGTAACTGAACGCTTTCATCTTCAGCGCCTTGAGGCTGTCAGGCTTGGAGATGCTCTTCTGCACCTTCATGAACCCTCCGCCTTGAAGACCTGCACCGCGAAGCTGAAGCACTACGCCGTCTTGCAAATCGATGCCTTTCTTGCTCAACGTCTCCCCTTTCAATGTGGCTCGCCCGTTCTCACTCAGGTTGGTTTCCTGATAGTACACGGAGTAACTCTTCCAAGACTTTTTGGTGAAGTTGAAGAAGCGACAGCAGTCGTCCCTAACTGTGGAGATTGTGGTGTTGATGCCCTCGTAGGTCTGGGAGAAGCGCGTCGTCTTGCCGACCGTTGAGACGTTCACTGTGATAACCTTCATGTCCTTCGCCTGTGCCTTGGCTTTCGCTTGGCTCAAGCGGTTCTGCTCGGCATTCTGCTCCTTCACCAGCACCTTCATCTGGTCGCGGACAGCCTTGTAGGTGTTGATTGCCTTGTAGACGTCCTCAACACAGCCACGCTGAAGGTTCTTGAGACTGTCCATGCTCTTGTTCTTCAGGTCGGCAACGAAGGTCTGGTCGGCGCCCACGGTGTCCATGTTCTGGACAACGTCGGGCACCTCTATGGATACCTTCTTCATGACGGTCTTCGGCACGGCGGTCGTGGTAACAGGGTAACCAGCAGTGGAAGCGGAAGGTTGCTCCTCGTCTGCAACCTCGGGGTCACTGCCAGCGTCTTCCTCCTCACTCTCTTCGCTCTCGTTCTCCACGTGGTATTGAACCTCAAGGACGATGTGACCACCTGTGACACCCTTGCCATGGTGGTCAAAGAGGAGCCCGTTTTCAAACTCCTCACTTTCATATGGGAACTCATCACCGCTGAAGCTGTAGACACACGAGGTGCTAACGAGGTCGGTGTCAAGACCGTGTTTCTCCAAGGCAAACAAAACAAAGTCACGCACCTTCATTTCCGAGCTCACTGTCTCCTTGAGGTTTTCGGTCCTCTCCGCATTTACCACGAGATGGTAAGTGCACTCAAAGGTTGCCATCTTGTGCAGACGGCAAAAGGAAAGTCAGGGATGCTAATGCTCGGGCAAGGTCTCTTCGGATGGTTCAAGCTTTGCTCAAGTGCTTTCACAACTGACTTGAATGTTGAAGTCTGACAGGCGCTCTCACTTGCAAGTAAAACATGCCAGTCGCACGTTCTGAAGATGTCCGCGGTGAAGTCGCTGAAGGCGAAAATCGGAACAACCACCCAAACCAAAACGTGAGGATAAGGAAGAGTAGAGGGAGGAGAAACGAATGAGGGGGCGATACATCCTTTTGAGAGTTGGGGTCTGGGAGAAAACGAATGAGAGGACAATGTTAGGAGAGGAGAGAGAGAAAACGAAGGAGGGGGTGATGATGAGAAAACGAGAGAGGGGGACAGGTGAGAAATCTTGACCCCAACAATGGGAAATAGGAAATGTGAGAGGTGGAACAGTAGAGGAACAATGAGGATACAATGATGAAAAACAACAAACGAAGAAGACACCCAACCCAAAACAGGCTAAACCCTGAAATCCCCCTTTCTACTATTTTTTTGGGGGGGGGTGATTCTTTGAAGGTCATGGCTGGGGGTCTGAAGCAGGGTTTCGGGTTCAGCGTGATTTTCTGTATGCTTCGGCGTCTGAGCCACGTTTGGTCCATGTCCTCGGAAACCTGAAGTCAAAGCATTGCAAAACCTGCTTTGGGGGCTGCAAGAACCCTGGACACCCGAATCCGATGGGCTACTGCAACGCCTGTTCCGGTGCGTAAAAAAGAGAGGAACGGTGGCATGTCTTGGAATATGATGCAGCTGGGGCAGGGGAGCTCAGGCATCAATCGAGCTCAACCACAACAGCCGCTTGCTCGGAATGCACCTTGTCCATAATACAATAGAAGCATTTGCGGGGAAGGGCTTCTTGAGTTTGGGGGGGAGTCGAGCACGAAAGAGAAACCACGTGTCAGTCACTGTCGTTCCGGGTCGGGGACTACTCTGCCGGGCTTACGGTTGCGACAACAGCTTCCCGACACCACGCCTGGTGACCGATGCCGCCCTCACCCTAGGCACGAAAAGCGGTTGAGAGTTGCACAGTGCTGCTTCACGGGCGTCTTGAAAAGCACGAGCTGCGTGAATTGAAAGTCAGTAGATCGAAGCCCCCAACCAGCGAGAGATTATAGGGGGGGGTAAGGACGGGGGCAGGATGTGTGCGCCGACTAGGGCAGTTAGCTAATTTTCACGCTACGTGACGCACCTCGGCGGGGGCCCGTGGCCATGGCAACGGCGAGGCAAGGCCGCCACTTTTGCAGGATTAAGCTTGCTCTTTGGAGGGTAGGCCAAGTGCGTCCTGAAGCACCGTCCGCTGGGGTAACCTATGCTTCATGCTACTCCTACAGCCCGAGGCGCGACCAGCTTGACTGCTTCAGGAAGGGCGCATTAGATCGATCAACTTTGCGTTGGGGGCGGCCAGATAAATCGGTCGCGTCTTGGGGCTAAGATTTCGGATTGTTCGCGGGAACACCCCGAAAAAAGCCTGGAAGCCTCATGACACCAGGTCTGCGACCTGCACAGCTGCCGCCACTTACAGCAATCCGGTGGAGCACGTCGCCTCCAAGCATTGGCAGGGTTCAAGACGCTTTCATTTGGGGCGGCCGAGCCATCAGGCTCAGTGCTTCAGCTCTACCTTGGACCCCTAAGGTTGTACCCTTGAGGTTGGGGACCGTTTTTTCAATATCCCTAAGGGAATACAAGGGCCATATTAGGAGTGTATCAAGGGGAACCGTTATTGGGGTACGAGTCTTCATCCCTTGACCTGACAGATGGTTCTTGGCTTGTCATTTGACAGGGGGGGTTTGGGTTTGGGCATTTGGGTGTATTTGGGCGTTGTCGTCGGCCGTAGAGGCGTCCCCGCGAAAACCTTCAAGATCTAACACGTTTTGCCATGAGTCCTGAGGCTCATCTCATGCTACTGATGACCCAAGCCCCAAACAAGCAGAGCCAAGGTCATCTCCGTCCCGGGCGCTGTCACGATCACCAGCGTGAGCGAGGGGACCTGCATGAGCGCCTCTGGAGGTTTTATTGGGAGCTTAGGGTGTTTGAACGCGGTAGATGAACAGGGTGTTTGAACGTGGTAGATGACCTGGCAAGCGAAACTCTCGCTCTCTTGTCAAGTCGATCTTAGAACCCAGAGATACCCAGAGTGTCACGGGGCTGTAGGTGACCAGGGCCCTTGTGATCAAACTTCGACGCCAAGCAGCCAAGTGACCAAGGCATCCACCGCATCATCCCATGGAACCTAAAGGTGCGAGATGCACGGCAAAACAGGAGGTGCATGGATGCACGGACAGACAATACGCTTCTCGGCTGTGAGGAGCGGTCTCTCTTGCGCAGAGGGCTGTTTGCCTAACTTGCAGCAACGAGCAGCACCGGTGTAGGAGTTGGGGGTCAGAGCCAAGGGTTTAGGATTTAGGGTTCAGGATTTAGGGTTTAGGATTTGGGGTTTAGGGTTTAGGGTTCCTATTGTAGGGGTCCCGCAGAGACCCTTCTTCTGCTGATGCACTTGTCAGGAGGGGGTATGTCGGCTCGAGGCCGCATGTCCAACAGGCATGAGGGAGATTGGCAGGTAATGAGCCAAAAGCCTGAAGAAAAGCTGATTGCCATCCATCTCTTGGGCTGTTCCGCTGAGGAATGTCTACACTCAGAGCTGCCATGACGGCAGAAACCAGCTGTGGTACATGTTGGACGGCAACATCATGAGCCTGTTTGACAGGAAGTGCTTGGACTACCACACCGACACGAGGAACGTGTACATGCATGAGTGCCACGGCGGTGCCAATCAGAAGTGGTACTTCGAAGAAGGCACTGCTCGCATCCGCAGCGAGGTGGACCACAAGTGCCTGGATCTTAACATAGGCGACGCTTTCAACATCTACATGTACGACTGCCACGACGAGAAAAATCAGCAGTTCGAGTCTCAGCTGCAGGGAAGCCTCTCTGTCTCATTCTGAAGATACAGGCGCACTGGACTATCCAGCACACGACCACCAACCGAATCAACCCACTGCCGATGCAGCTTATGGACCTCTCAACTGGACAACAGTCTCAGCCCCCGACATACCTTCTCTCTCCGCCCATAAACCACAAAGACTTCTTCGAACGCCTGCGTGCCCGAAGTGTAAGATTCTCCGTGACCAGGCTGAGGCCCTGCTCTGACCTGAAGCCCAAACCACCAACCCAGCAAGTCCCTCCTTGGGAACACTGCTCCGCAAATTGGTAACATCCTTGAGCACCCCGTGAACGAAACCCAATGGGCTGTTTACGGTCCAAACTCGTCCTCAAAAGCCTTGAACAGAACATGCCTGCCTCACAGGACCGTGAAGAGCGCAGCAACAGTGCCTTCACGATTGCTCTCCACTTGGACTGCAGCGTCACCCGCCTGGTTGATTCGGATTTTCGATTTCTTGGTAGCCCAGTGGTACCCTTTTTGCCTTTTTTGGGGTTATGGGTTCCTTAAACAAGGGCGCCCTTATTACAGTATGGTTACTGGGCTACCAAGTCCCTGGACCCTAAACCTCACACATCATCACTCAGGGACGAGGCATTGGTGTCAGGTTTGGGTCCTCAGCAAGACACCGTTCTGTCCCGCACGATTCTGGTTCCGGAGTCTAACACTTGGACCTACACCACGCGATTTATAGCCTGAATCGAGGGCGGGATGTGACATGCCCCACAAGGAGCTGAAAACCTTAAAGCGTGCGGCGGGTTGGTGGGGATCTCCAATGAACTAGACACCAAAATGAGTATCAATGTTCAATTGCGACACTGGTTCCCTAAACCCTGTGTGTTTTTCTTTCGCTTTCCTCCCAGCGGCTGTCCCTGGGGTCTACTCTGGTGTGGCTTCGTTTTTTGAGGTTTTCCGTTCCATTGGGGTTCGGAATGTTTGGACCGAAGGACCTTTAGGACGTTTTGGGCTTACTAAATCCTAAACTTGGGGGATGTTCCCCCTTATACTAACCATCACAGGTAACCGTCATAGGAGGGATGATAGTACCTTAATATAATCCTTATTGAAGGGGGGGGGAGGGGGTAGCATAAGGGTGAACATCCCAACCCTCAACCCCAAACTCCCTGAACCCTAAACCCAGGGTTAGGACTTTGGGAAGCTGGTCAAGGAGTCCGAGTTTGAGGAAATCACGGTGGAGCCCGTGAATTGGCAGAAATTCCAGCTCAGGCTCGTTCCTCATTGAGAAAAAAAGCAGGTAACCCACATGGAATAAAGAGTCCCTAAAGGGTTATGTGTAGGCCCGGCGGGCTTTAAGAACCCCTGTTTCAGAGCTAGTAACTTATCTGGGGCTAACGTGGCCGATCCATGCTGGAAGCCAGCTTTGAACCAAGCAGTCCCTTGCGGGATAGTGTTGTCAAAAGATACCCCTACAAGGGTTTAGGGTTTAGGTTTTAGGGAAACCCAATTCACAAGGAGGCATTTTAGTTGGATGTGCCACGATGCTCAGTTTCAAAGCGAAGGCTATGCACAGGTGGCAGAGCAGCAGATGCTCTGTTTAGGGTTTAGGGTTTAGGGTTTAGGGTTTAGGGTTTAGGGTTTAGGGTTTAGGGTTTAGGGGTTTAGACCCCAAAACTCGGATGAAACCTTGGGCCTTGAGGCCCCTGAGCCCAAGAACCTCGAGCAGATCCGTGACAGGAACAGCCCAAACACGCTCCCTGGCGATTTCCGCTGGAAGAACGACGTGAAGTCGGGGACCCAGAAGGGGTTCCGGTTGTAGGGTTGAGCGCTGGATGAGGTGTGCCTACGCATGTTTACTCTGTGTGTGTGTGTGTGTGTGTGTGTGTGTGTGTGTGTGTGTGTGTGTGTGTGTGTGTGTGTGTGTGTGTGTGTGTGTGTGTGTGTGTGTGTGGTGTGTGTGTGTGTGTGTGTGTGTTTGTGTGTGTGTGTGTGTGTTTTGTGTGTGTGTTTTGTGTGTGCGTGTGTGTGTGGTGTGTGTGTGTGTGGTGTGTGTGTGTGTGGGCGTGTGTGTTTGTGTGTGTGTGGGTGTGTGTGTGTGTGTGTGTGTGTGTGTGTGTGTGTGTGTGTGTGTGTGTGTGTGTGTGTGTGTGTGTGTGTGTGTGTGTGTGTGTGTGTGTGTGTGTGTGTGTGTGTGTGTGTGTGGGCGCGCGCGCGCGTGTGTTTGGGCGGGGTGGGTTCATCCTACAGACAGGGCTTCCCGAGCAGGACTAAGCTTGAAGGGGCACCACTTCTGCTTGATGAGTCCTTGGATAGCAGCTGATGCTTAACGGAGGGGGTGGGAAAGTCTACAGTCGATCTGGACAGACAGAACCGCGAATGACGCGCGCTCCTGTCAATCTCGCAAAGCCCCAGACGTGAAGTCCTCAGACCCTAAACCCTAAAGCCAAAAGCCCTAAACCCATCGCCTGTCAACCCTTTTGGTCTCATTGAGGTGGCTTGAGGTTCCAGGGCACACCATTCTAAATTTAGGGGGTTCGGGGGGGGCAGAGGGTTTAGGAAGTTCAGGGGGTTTGTAGGGGGTTGAGAGGGGTGAGAGGATTCAGGCGGTTCAGGGGGCTTCAGGGGTTTTAAGGGTTCAGGGGGCCTAGGGCGCTCAAGGGGGTTTTGGGGGGGTTCGAACCTCCATACCCGAAACCCCCCCAGTGCCAGGAAGATTCAGAACGTCCACACCGGCAAATGCCTCGAAGCCAAAACGCTCGGCCGCGTGGAGGAGGTTCGATGGACAGTTGTTTAGGGTTTAGGATTTAGGGTGTTGGGGAAAGAACACTAGCAAAACCTCCCATTGGGTCCACAATTCCATGTTGGTGCTGGTGTGTTGTGTCTTCGGCTGGTTGTTTCTTTGCTTGGTTGTTTCTGTGCTGCTTCTTCTTTGCAACATGCGCTTCTTCCCTCGCCTGCTTCACTTAAAACAGCCACCACCTCTAGGATCGCCAACAACATGTTGGGCTGCTGAAGCTTCGATTCGACCTTCAAGTTCAGTTCTTGAATCTGCAAGCCTCCAGCACACAAACCCGAAATGGATGAGGCCGAAAATTGACGGCCCCATGGTATGTGTCCTTTGAAAAAAAGGCCGCGTGTAGCCATGAGTTTGGCCATCCTCGAGAGGTTGGGGCATTCAGGTCTAGTTTCACCCGGGTGAAACAGGTAGGTTGGGATGTTCCCCCTTATACAAACAGTCCGTAATAGGGATTATAGTACCCCCTACTATAATCCCTATTAAGGACTGTTAGTATGAGGGGGAACATCCCAAGAGGTAGGTTCCTAAACGCACGACTCTGGACCCGTGGACCTCAGCTCACAGTCACAACCCTCAGCGCACATCTCCCCAGCCACAGATCCTCGACCCTGAGCCATAAACCCTACATGGGGGTTTCAGAAATTAGGGGGTAGTTGACTGGGGTCCTGACGAGAAGGGAATCCTACTATTTGGGGGTCTCTATAGCAAGGGCCCCTGATGGTCGTAAACCTCCTACAGAAGCCCTTCTAATTCTACAGGCCCTAGAAATGTACTAGAAATTGTGATGTTGATGTTGTTATTACCCTAAACCCTAAACCCTAAAAAAGCCGCTTGAGGCCCCCTGGGAGGGTTTAGGGTTTAGGGTTTAGGGTTTAGGGTTGACTGTGTGTATAGGGGGGAACATCCCAACCTGGAAACGTTCTCCAGCCTCTAATTCCTTGACATCGCGCCCGTCACCACACCTGCCAGGCGGACTGCAGCGAAAGCACTTCGGCCAAAGGGCTGAGGATACCATAACCCTAAACCCCAAACCCCAAACCCTACCCCAAATTTCGGACCCAAACCTGAATGCCGAAACCCGCAGGGCTTGAGGTACGAGAGTCTTCCGACTGCTTGTCGTCGATGTAGGCGTTTACGAAAATTAGCGGCACCTTTTAGAGGGAGATTCTAGACGGGTGTAGGGTCGTAAGGGGAGCCCGAATGTGTAAATGGTTGGGTTCGAGGTCCGCCCTAAACCCTGAAAGCTTCTAAACCCCCACGTCCCTTTACAGTCCCGAGGCAACCCTAAACCCTAGCCCTAAACCCTAAATAAACCCTAAACCTTAAACCCTAGCCCTGAACCCTAAACCCGAGGTATGGAGCAAGAGTGGACCATGTCCCATGGCCTCCAGGGCCTGGTTGATGCCCCGATCATGTGCCCCGGGGATCAGGTCGCCAAACTGACACCAGATGGTTTGGGGTTTAGGGGTTTTGGGGTTTAGGGGTTTTGGGGTTTTGGGGTTTGGGGTTTTGGGGTTTTGGGGGTTTGGGGGTTTGGGTTTGGGGTTAGGTTTTGGGGTTTAGGGGTTAGGTTTTGGGTCTAGGGCCTCCTTGTCCCGAATTCCGAAGCCCCAAAAACTAAACCGTTTAGGTTTCCTAATGTTCGGTCCGAAGTTTCCTACAGCAGTGCCGGGCCTAGTTGCGGATGCGCTGGTATCAGTTGGCAGACTCTGAGAGCTTCGAGAACCTCTAGTCCACGTGTTGCCCTGCTGGGGCGCGAGGGGGGTTCGGGTTTAGGCGGTTTAGGTTTTGGCACGTGTTTCTTGATCTTACACCTCGGGGCTATGATTGAGGTCATCAGCTCTATGAGAAAGACGAGCTCCGAGATTCGGTACCACTGCAGCCACGTCTCTTCCCTTGGATGCTCGCGCTATCAGATTGGATTCGAGGTGTTGAGGTCTAGGACCGTTCCGGGTATTCAGAGGCTTGGGGCCACACTTCGACTCACTCCGCTTGTCCCCCACCGCACGAGCTTGTTGGATTTGACTCAGATCTCCTCGCCCCCCCCCCCCCCCCCCCCCGCGGTCCCGCGAACTGTCACTGTCGGCCCCTAGAATCACTCTGAGAATCCTGCAGAGAATTGCACAGTGGATCCCACAGTGCTCGCCCTCGAGAATGTCACAGAGATTCTTGCAGAGTTTCCCTGTATATAGTGCCCATCCATAGAATCCTGCAGAGCATCCCGCTGAGTGTCCTTGAGCTTTGTGGGGCTTCATATAGAGAAGGCTAGCCAGCTGCGCGAACTTGCAAACACAGCCGCGAGGGTGGACGTGGCCTGAGATGTCGAAACAGCCCAACCTCTTTTTGGTGTTCTGAGTGCGACAACCAAATTTCAAGTGGCAGCCATATCTCCGAAAAGCTGGTAACTAGCACCATGAGATACCACAAGTCCGGACATTCTAGTTCTGTGTTCTTGAAGTTCCTTTGCTTTCAAAGCGGCGCACCTTGCTCCCATTTCAGGAATGTGCACGGAGCACTACTCCACGCAGGTGGAGACGATCTCACCCGAGCTTGAGACGATCAAGGCAGCATGTTAGCACACCACAGGAGCCTGAATCAATGCGCCTCTATGCAGAAGTTCTTCTCGATTGCGCTCCGAGAGTGGGGATGGAAGCCGGGTCTTTGTGGACTTGTGTTGCTCACACCTTTAGGGTTTAGGGTTTAGGGTTTAGGGTTCAATTGTTAGGCGCAAGAGCCGCTAGAGCGTGATCAAAGGAAGCTTCCGGAGCCTATAAAAAGCGTGCCCCTATCACATAAGATCGGGTCCCTTGGGTAAGGAGAGTATGTAAGTTTAGGTGTTTTTCAAGGAGAGGCTATGTAAGATCAGGTCGTGTGGGTAAGGAGAGTACGTAACCTTTGGTGTTTTTCAGGGAGAGGCTAAGAGCAGGCTGCCTGACTTCTAAGTTCTGGTGTTTTTTGGCAGATGCTGCATGGGTCTCCTGCACAGGTTTGTGCGGGCTTCAACACGGGCCTCCTACGGGGACCCTTGGCAACTTGCGGGCTGCTTACGTGCCACTTACGTGCCACTTACCACTTACGCGCCACTTACGGCCACTTACGTGCCGCTTACATGCCACTTATATGCCGCTTACGTGCCGCTCAGGCCCCTTGAGAACTTACGGGCCCCTCATGGGCCTTCGCGCCACTTACAAGCCTATATAGAGCCATTCGCGAGCCACTTACGGGCCTCTGGCTGCTTCGAGCCTTCTGCGGGCCTGGTCTTGGAGTTCGAGCGACGAGAGCTTGCGTGACGAATGCTGCGCCCGTTCGACTGACAAAAAAACGGGGCCCTGACTAACCCTGGATCGGGTTGAATTCTCACGAGAGCTTACTCAAAGACAGGGTCGACGCAAAAACATGCTTACACAGGATAGCCAAGCCTCAGCCCTTTTTTGACCTTACAAGCTTCTCATTTGCTCTTGCCCCAAAACATCCCCTCACATGTGCCTCACATGCCACTCACCAGCCACTCACCGACCCAACCGCAACCTCTTATATGATAGGGGCACGCTTTTTATGGGCTCCTTACTGCACCCTTGACGTGACGCATGCGCATCCCTTTTATGTACCATGCGCTCGTACTCACTATCTAACTTGCAGGCCTCCATGTGAATAGTGCTTTGTTGTTGTCAGAGCGAGTTTGGACATGAAGTCGCTTCGGACCATGCAGATTACATTAAAAGAACGTATACCCGTTTCTAGCAAAACGCCCCAGACATCAGAAACTCGAAACTTATTGCACAAACAAGCCCTGCTGCCTTCCAGTCTTCAACTCCAGGCCGAACGGCCTGAACTACAACGAACCTCAGAACTGCAAACAACCTCTGTCACAGGCGCTGACGATGCTTGGGGCAACCTGTCCTCCAAGCGAAGGTCTGATGCTGTGCTTGCAATTTACCTGTGTTCCTGGGGTTTCATTGCATCAGGCGCCGTACGCTTCTACACGTGTAGAAGATCGTGTTGCGCAGTACGCGCTGCAACGACTCTGGCTCTTGGAGCTGTCACTCATGTCCTGAGCCCTGCATCTGGAATTCCCCTCTACACACCGGACCCTGAACTCGTATTGCACGGCAGCGAAGGAAGAGCTTGGAGTTCGAGGCCTCAGACAAAGGCCGCAAAAGCGTTATTGCATCTGGGGATATCTAGGGGTCTGTTCGCCTTCAACACTGTCTTGCAGTTTGGCTTTTGGAGATAGTGGCACCTGGGCGTGCTTCCTAGTATGCACCCTTACTTGCCATTAGCCAGCACTGACAACGCTGCTTGGAGCTTTTTCCTACCTTCGAAGGCAAATGGATTCGCTTCAAGTATGTGCCTTGGAGTCAACGAAGCTGTGAGCAAAGGGTTCGGGGAGCGCCGAGGGCGTACAGAATTGTGCAAAGTGTAAGGGTTTAGGGTTTAGGGTTTAGGGAAAACACGTCAGGTCTGCTGTCAGATCAGCCGCTTACCAGTGTCCATCTACCCTCCGCTGGGCAACGGGGACAAGCGGTCCTTTGAAGAGGACATGGCCCAAGGTTGGGAAGGCTGGGATGCAAAGCTCGGCTTTATGCTATGGAATCCGTCAACATCCGCCCCATGAATCAGCCAGGGTTACAGGAGTTTCGGAAAATTTCGAAGTAGGATTTCCGTTGCTTTGCCTTTGGCAGGAACTTTTAAGAAAAGCATTAAAACTTCAAGCGTAACCACCACCGCATGAGACTGTTTTGCTTTTAAGGTTTAACTTCGCGCCACGGATTGTGGCTGCGAGCGTGTTGTAACATCCTGTTGCTGCATGTGTTTTGCAAGTAAGTGGTTGACGGTTGCCGGCGCCGATCAGCAAGCACGGGTGTTTTGTTTCATTCGCCATTGCAGACTCGAGCGCAGCGGTCATTCCCTAAACCCTAATAAACCCTGAACCCACCCTACAAACCTCCAAGCCCTTGAACCTCATTCATTCCCGCAGCCTAAATAACCAAAAAACGCTCCACGCGTGAACCCTTCAGTCCAGAATCAGAAAAGCCAGAGACCTCAACAGAATCTGAGACCCTTCAGCCACTATTTGCTTAAGAACCCCAAAGAAAAGAATGGACTGGTTTTTTGTTTTTATGCTGTACTTTTTTTCTTATTCTTTCTGTGCCCCAGAAGCTGTTCCGAGCTCTTATGCTGCTACCGTTTCTGTTGTTATTCTCAACGGTTTTTTATTATGCTGACTTGGCTTTTTCTTATGCTCCCCAGTCCTCCCGTTATTCTCCTTCCTCCCTTCACCCCCCCCCTCCCACCCTCCCCTTCCGTTCCTCTCCCATCCTCCCCTCCACGTCCCTCTCCTCCCCTCCTTCCCTCGACGTCCCGCTCCTCCCTCTCCTCCTCCCTCCTCCCTCGTCACCATTCCACAGTCCCATCAATACCCACTTACCCACCACTGCGCCATCCTACTATCCACCACCATGCAACATCATCATGTCCCACATCTCCCACCGATATTGCCGCCAGTCGTAGACCCTGTACCCCCTACCTACCCCCCCCCCCTACCCCCGCCCTCCATTAGACCACTTACCCGCCTTTTAGCCTAACCCTATAAACCCTGTTTAAACCCAAATCCCCCCAGACTGCGCAGGCTCCGCCGTTATTCCCCCACCATGACCCACCCACCATGCAACACCATGCACATCGCACCATCATTCCCATCATTCCCACCATTTCCCACCAAGATTTCTGCCACCCGGGACCCTTTGCAACCACCATTGGCCATCCTCACCATCACACACCACTACCCAGGATTCTCACCGTTCCCACCATTATTCTCGAAATTCCAACCATTTCCACAACTCCCATAAGCATCCGCCCATTCACACCCAACTCAACCAAGCGAGGGGGGGTGGTGCTGCCCTCCACAGGCCAGGTCAAGCCGTATTTTTACAGGCCGGGAGCATGAAACATCAGCCCAACCACAGCCAACCCAACCAAGCCATGCTTTAGACATGTCCTTGTCGCTTCACGAGCAAGACTTTGGAACCCAACAAAGCAATCGGTAAGGTGGCTGCAAAAGGAGGGATGCGTCCACCCCTGCTCACCCACCACCCCCCCCCCCCCCCCGCAATGCAACAGAACCAAGCCAAGCATACTTGTCATGTCGGCATGCTTTGCAAAAGCCATCAGTCCCGGCCAACCCTACCAGGCCGTGCTGTTGTATTAACATATCCCTCTCGCTTCGCAAACAAGATGTTGACTCCAAAACAGAATCTGAGACCCTTCAGACCCCATACCCTAAATAAATTCCCCCTAGAATCTGAGACCCTTGAGGTGTGTACTGCCCAGTCGCACCGGACGACAGCGGTCGGATGGCATTCTTGCAGACAAGGACGCCCCGAGGTTTAGGCTTCGGGTGGGGAGAGGGGGTGCAAAGGCTCAAGGTTCAGGGTTGAGGACTTAGGGTTCAGGGTTCAGGCTTCAGGGCCCCCCGGGGCCCGAAACCCGAAACTGAGGCTCGGAGAGTTCTTTGTTCAACTTGGGCTCGTGCAGGAGCTTCCGTCCTGGGCTCCGCCTCCTTTTCAACTTACAGATGTTTGTTTACGTCGCTCGGTCTGCAGGGCATGTCTCAGTCACTTGCAGTTGGGGCTTTGGGGTTGAGCGGTTGAAATGCGAAAAGTTGGGCGACAGTTGTGAAGGCCACGAGATGTTGTTCCCCTCAAGGTGTTCAGTAGCATTGACAGCCAGGCCCAGGTCGGGTGAGAGGGGGTGGGGTGGTAGGTGGTAGGCTTGATGTGCTTGAGGCTTCAGGCTACGATCGGTCAGGTCCAGGCACGTCCCAAGATCCATCATCTGAGCATGCGCCTAAGCCAGGATCAGGATCCACTTGCTCCTCACAGCTGTTCAGTGTATTTTGTGCATGTCCGTGTCTTGGATGCTGCGGTTCTCCGGTTGAGGGGGACGTGCACGTTCTGATATGTTCTCGTCCATGTGTTCTCGCGCTTGCTTTGATATGGTCAAAGCTGAGAGCTTCGTAGCGGAACAGGGCCGCGAAGCAACAAGATGACTGGGGGAATATTAGAGCCCAAAAAGTCCAAGCATGATCCCTTTAGAGTGCCTACAATGAAGAAATTCGAAACACCTGTGACAAGCAGCACCCCCCATACTTACACCTCAAGAGGACTCAAAAATCGCCCCGGCGGCAGGGGATTCGATTTCTGGCGCAAGCTGGAATGATCCCTATACCACATTCCAACCAGAGATTCCCTGAATTAGGTCCCCTGTGCGAGTTCCCTTTTGCCATACGGAGCTTTGTAGTTAGGGTAGGAACTGCCCCCATGCCCTCAAGGAAGTTCAGGCGTATGACACAGCATGATGCCAAGGACAGGCATCTCGGGAAGTGGTGCGTACATGGTCGAAGTTGTGTGGACTCTGATGTGGCTTGGCTCAACCCCCCTTAGAGACCTAGAGAGAAGCTGACGCCAAAGGGGTCCTCCGTTGAGCCACGAGTGCTAGAGAAGGGGGTTTAGGATTCGGGGTTTAGGCCACCACTCTTCTAAGAAGAGTTTCGGCATCCTGGCAGCAAGGAGTCCAGTTGCAGGGTGGTGGCCTCTGCGCGGATTGCTGAAACCTTGGGACGATGAAGGGGGCAGCCAAAAGGCAACAGCCGACTGGAGCACCGGGTTTTGGGACCCAGGCGACAGAAGCCACGGCATCAGATCTCATCTGTAGACTTCTGAGCCGGTTAGTGGGGAGGGTTTAGGGTTTAGGGTTGAGTTTAGGGTTTAGGGTTCATGTGGACCAGCACCGGCGCGCATCATGAGCATCAGCTGGGCGTAGACCCCACATTTATGTCTAATCCTTCGAACTTATGGACCTCTCACACCGTAAGTAGATGGTGCTCATGATGCGCGCTACGGCTTGCCCATCCCTCTAGGAGATGTGCCTGTACTTGGGGAAGGCCGGGGGAGGGGTGGGGGGTAGAAAGCCTCTTGTTTTGTGCGACCCAAGCTACAAGGGTTTCCGGCACCGCCGTAAACAAAAGGGAAACACTAGGGTGAACAAGTACGTGGGGAGGGTAGCTGCTAGCGGCTTTACTGCGATTTTGTTCCGAAACACACACTGAGAGTACTGGAGCATCGGCGTCTCGAGGATCGGGACAACATGGGACAACACTCGGTGTTCCCATGGAGTTCCCCAAGAGACAAAAATGCGGATCTGTAGCTCTCACTGGGGCCTTCAAACCTCAAATGCCGTGCTGAAGACGGTTGAAGACCACTTAACCCCTGGACCAACGGCGAACCAGAAAGAAACCCCGTGCCGGTGGTGGTCTCTAACTGGGTCAGCTGCGACATAGCTACGACGCCGCAGGCAAGAGGGTGGCCATGGGTGGCCCTTAGGGCTCTCCCCACGACAACACGCCAACGACACACCAGAACCTGCAAAGAACCTTAGCCGTTCTCTAGAAAATCCAGATACGATGTGACTGGGCTCTCGTCCAAGAACTCATGCTTGGCGCTTGGCGAGCGAACCGCCATAATCACCAACGTGACCTGCGAAAGTCAGGGGTGCCTTCAGCAGGGCATCTGCCCATGCACCCCCGCAAATGCAACTTCTCTCTGAGTGATGCAATCCAGGGGCACTCCCTCAATTTTGCCCCGTGCTCGTTCTCCTGCCGGCTCGAGATGGGAGTGTTGAGGAGGCCTGAACACAGAGAAACAATCAAAGCTCCAGGCGGCAAAAATCGTCGAGCCAACCTGAAACGGGCCATATCTTCGCTCAGGCCTTGCCAAGCGGAGAAGAGGGCAGAAAAGGAGGCTTTCGCAAAAGTTTCAACTTTCTCAGCTATCTCAGCTAACTCAGCTTTGTGGTGCGTGCGGGGGAGAACTGGTTGAACACCTACGCCCTGATTCAGTGCAGGTCAATCTAAAGTTCACAAAATGGAGGAGTCTCGCCAAAATCCCCATCTAAATCCATGTACGATGCCGTCCTAAAAATCCCTGGTCTCTGAAAGGTTGTACATCCGTTGGACACATCGCTGCACAACGACGAATGGCTTCCTGACCTAGGTTTCCAGAGGGTTACAGGTGCGGTCCGGGGCGTTTTAGGCCCTTAGGGCGAGGATTTGGATCTAGGCTGCGTCTGGTCTGAGATTTTGTGGGGCTGGCGCACAAGCTGCATGAATTCAATCAAGAGAAGCGGCAGTAGCGTGGCACGTCCCAGAACCCCCCAGAGAAGCCTAATGCCTTCACGTCCTGAAGCCTCAAGGTCTGTGATTCCCGTCAGCGACTTCGACGCCGTGTTCGAGGTGGTTCTGCCACATCGAACCCCCAAAAGTCCAGAAAGTCCTGAATTCACGTCGCACCCTTTCCTAGGCCCCGCCCCACAAACCCCAAAGCCAAAGCTCTTGAGGGACAAAGGTACAAGAGGGCTGAGTATGCCAAGTGAGCACTTAGCCATTTAGCCCAGCCACCAAGCTGTCAATTTCGAAGGTTTCTGGATTGGGAGCACCCGGGAAGCCTGTCAAACGCGACAGCCGAGCAATGTCGACCCCTCAAAGCACCACAGAAGGCCGTTTTCTCTCGGACCTAAAAACACCCCAAATCATACCGAAGAAGTGATCTCCCAAACTCTTAGCTCTAACCCCCAAGAAGGCCGAAGGTTTTACCCTCACCCTGAAAACCCAAGACTTAGTATCTGCTTGCACCTCAAGATGATGATGGGGATGTAGATCATTAGGAACAAAGGTGTGTACGGAGTGGGATGTAAGTGGCCACCCATCTTCTCTTATCAAAGGGCTTACTGATGGCCCTTACGCCCCCCCCCCCCCCCCGCAGTTTCCTGCGTAGATGATGATGGCCCTTACGCCCCCCCCCCCCCCCCGCAGTTTCCTGCGTAGATGATGCTAGAAAAAGGTACCCTCCCTAAACCCTAAGGCCCTAAACCCTAAACCCCAACCCAAGCGAGGCAAAGGGCGCCAAGCCCTTGGCCGCCAAAAAGAAGCGGAAGCCGCCTCCACTCATCAAGCAGCCCCGGCTTCAAATGCAGCGATGGTTGCTTTTCCCTAAACATTAAATTCCCTAAGCCCTAAACCCTAAACGAAATCTTGGGAGAACCTCAGGGCCTATTTCGTTCAGACGGGGGGTACCCCCACTGTCAACCTTGTTTACTCAAGGCCATGTCGTTCGCGGTGGGTTCGGCGTAATCTGTGGCTTTTGCTCTCGGGGGTTCAGGGTTTCAGGTTTACCGAAACACCCCCCCTCCGCCCCCCCCCCAAAAAAAAAAGTTCCATGTGCTTAAGAAAAGCTAAGCAACTAGTAGTATAGGAAAGAATTATTATGGGGGTGCTTTGGGGTGCAGGGCTTCGACTGTTCATGAAGACCCAGAACCGCCCCAGGGTTTAGGGTTTAGGGTTTAGGGTTTAGCGTCATCTTGGACCCAAGAGGGGAGACCAACAGGCCCAGAGGCCACAATCCCAGAGTGGGTCCTGATTTCCTTATTTTAGGGTTTAGGGGGTTTAGGCCCCTTCTAATCCCCATTTAACACAAGAAGGGCACCCTTTTTATGGGTCTAGTTAGAGAAAGTCTGCTTCACATCTTGAGCGCGTATTCCAAGTTGTTCTTTCCTGTTGCTATACTTGGCACAAGCCCAAACCCAAACTGCCCCAAACCCAAAACGCGAGAGTTCAGGGCTTGTGTAAGCCCTTAAGTGCCCGAAAACAAGAAGATCGTTGGGAGAAAGGTTCGGCGCGAGCGACCCCGAGTACTTGCCGGAATGCAAGGAGAGACGGTGGGCTCTTATGACATCAGTGTCCATGAATTGTGCCGAACCCTAAGCCCTCAAGCCTAAAACCTAAACCCAGTGTTTATGGAAAACCTCACGTCTCTAAAGGAGTCAGGGCCTCAGAAGGCAATGCCCGAGCGTGTGTGTGTGTGTGTGTGTGTGTGTGTGTGTGTTGGTTGTGTGCGTGTGCCTGTGTGTCTGTCTGTGTGTGTGTGTGGGTGGGCGTGCATGTGTGGGCGTGCATGGGGGGGCGTGCGTGGGGGTGCGTGCGTCAGGGTGCGTGCATCAGGGTGCGTGCGTCAGGGTGCGTGCGTCAGGGTGCGTGCGTGTTTGTGCCTGCGTGGGGGTGCGTGTGTGGGGGTGCGCGTGCGTCAGGGTGCGTGCGTGGGGATGCGTGCATGGGGGGTACGGTGCGTGCGTGGGTGGGGGTGCGCGTGCGCATGCGTGCGCGTGTGCTCGTGCACGTGCGCCCGCGCGTGCGCGTGTGCTTGTGTGCGTGTGCTTGTGTGCGTGTGCTTGTGTGCGTGTGCCTGTGCCTGTCTGTCTGTCTGTCTGTCTGTCTGTGTGTGTGTGTGTGTGTGTGTGTGTGTGTGTGTGTGTGTGTGTGTGTGTGTGTGTGTGTGTGTGTGTGTGTGTGTGTGTGTGTGTGTGTGTGTGTGTGTGTGTGTGTGTGTTGTGTGTGTGTGTGTGTGTGTGTGTGTGTGTGTGTGTGTGTGTGTGTGTGTGTGTGTGTGTGTGTGTGTGTGTGTGTGTGTGTGTGGGTGTGTGGTGTGTGTGTGTGTGTGGTGTGTGTGGTGTGTGTGGTGCTGTGGTGCTGTGGTGCGTGTGTGTGTGTGTGTGTGTGTGTGTGTGCTGTGTGTGTGTGTGTGTGCTGTGTGTGTGTGTGTGTGCTGTGTGTGCGTGTGTGTGTGTGTGTGTGTGTGTGTGTGCTGTGTGTGCTGTGTGTGTGTGTGTGTGTGTGTGTGGTGTTTGTGGTGTGTGTGTGTGTTTGTGGGTGTGTGTGTGTGTGTGTGTGTGTGTGTGTGTGTTGTGTGTGGTGTGTGTGTTGTGTGGTGCTGTGTGTGTGTGTGTGTGTTTGGTGTGTGTGTGTGTGTGTTTGGGTGTGTGTGTGTGTGTGTGTGTGTGTGTGTGTGTGTGTGTCTGTGTGTGTGTGTGTCTGTGTGTGTGTGTGTGTGTGTGTGTAAACGCCTGAACATGGTGATCGCTGTGACTGACATTTCCATTTGCAGGGGGCAGTGACCCGCTCATAAGCTCACTGCCAATGAAGCTGCTTATGAGTTGGGAGGATATCCAGGCTGATCACCTGGACGTACCTGCATGTAGAGTGGGATACCACACTGCTTGTGACATCATGTACCCTGAAGTCCCGAGGCAGGCAACCATGCTCCTTTTCATTCTTCCCTTCTTCTTGACTCCTCTTGAGTGTGTTGTGGGTCTGGTGGTTGGTACATGTTGGTACCGTGATCACTGCATCAGTTCATGCCAAGCCAAAGTGTGTACCAGTTCTGGTTTTTCCCGACATGGGGCCAGATCTCAGGGGCATGTGCCCGAGCCCGCGATAGCGGATGAGTGAATCACAACGTTGCAGACGCTTGTTCTCATCCATCGGGATCATCTGCAGTAGGATGACATGTGCCCACAGTGGGCTTCATCGGGATCATCGGTCACTGCACGGTCAAGGGCCGCGGTCAAGGGTTGATCAGTAGAGACAGCTTGCTGAACATGTGCTTTCCCTAGGAGTGCAGGTAGATCGTCTGTGCATGTGCAGGTAGGAGGACCAGGTAGGCACGCGCTCAAGGTATCCGGAATCCTTAAACAGACATGTCAGTGACTGTCCTCCCATGATGCTGTCTGACCCCCTGTTTTGTTGATTTCGCGTTTCTTGTTGCCTCCTGGTGTCGTTCCCGTATTGTTGTCTAGGCCTCCTCTCTTGTTGCTGTTCAGGACTGGCTTGCTGACACCTGCTTGCTTCTTCGCGTCCTTTTCGCCCTTCGGGGCGTGTGTGTGTGTGTAAACGCCTGAACATGGTGATCGCTGTGACTGACATTTCCATTTGCAGGGGGCAGTGACCCGCTCATAAGCTCACTGCCAATGAAGCTGCTTATGAGTTGGGAGGATATCCAGGCTGATCACCTGGACGTACCTGCATGTAGAGTGGGATACCACACTGCTTGTGACATCATGTACCCTGAAGTCCCGAGGCAGGCAACCATGCTCCTTTTCTTTCTTCCCTTCTTCTTGGTACCGTGACCACTGCATCAGTTCATGCCAAGCCAAAGTGTGTGTGTGTGTGTGTGTGTGCGGGTGTGCGGGTGTGCGGGTGTGGCGGTGTGTTTGCGGGTGTGTGTGGGTGTCTGGTGCGTGTGTGTGTGTGTGTGTGGTTGTTGATGTGTGTGTGCGTGTGTTGCGTGTGCGTGCGTGTGCGTGCGTGTGCGTGCGTGTGTGTCGTGTGCTGTGCGTGCGTGTGCGTGTGCGTGCGTTGTGTGTGCGTGTGTGCGTGTGTGCGTGTGCGTGCGTGGGTGCGTGCGTGTGGTGGGTGCGTGGGTGCGTGCGTGCGTGCGTGCGTGTGCGTGCGCGTGCGTGCGTGCGTGCGTGCGTGTGTGTGTGTGTGTGTGTGTGTGTGTGTAAATGCGTGTTGAGTGTGAGTGTGTGTGGCGAACAGGCCCCCGATCCTCATAGGATCGGACGCCCTAACTAACAGAATGAGTGAGTTGGATAAAGTTCAGTGCTGGTTCAAAGTTTTCGGGCATCCGCGTCGACAGTTGGAGAGAACCACTGAATCAAGTTAATTGGCTTTTAAGTTATGGGGGGTGTCCGAAATTTGGTGCACCCCTTATGTACCCAAAATGCTACATAATCTTTAAAAATTTAAAGGAACCCCAAAGAAAGGCACCCCTATTTTCGTAAACCCCCTAAACCCTAAACCCCTTATAAGTCCTGCTAGCAGAGCCTCTCTTGAGAAGTCGCCCGTGAGACCCCAGGACGAGTCGCACCCAGGAGCGCGCAAGTTCAAGCTCGAAGACATGAGCCTCGGAAGTGCGGTTTAGGGTTTAGGGTTTAGGGTTCAAAGCGTTCAAAGCCTTAGGTTTGCACATCTTTGGGTTTCTTAGAAGGGCAGGTCGCTTTATATGTGCATCGCAAGGTTTTGATCAAGTCCCTTTTTTGTATCTTGCCTTGAAGGCCATGTTCCTCCATGTCTTGCGCGATTGCCAGGGCACGCCGTGCTGCTTAAGCCATTCAGTTTGGGTGCTTGATCGTGGTAGTTCTGCCGGAATTCCCAACAAGGAACAATGAGGCCAAGAACTTGGACGATGAGAACCCATGCAAGCAACTTCCTTGCAAGTCATGGCTTCGGACATCTTCGGACATTGGCTCACCGGCGCAGCTTTCCTTCGGAAGGAATCGGTGTTGAGAGCTGGGGCTGGCCTGTGCATGGTGTGTTGGCTCCTGTGGTTCCTTATTCATAAAACCTTATATTCGATATGTGCACGATTTTTCCATAGCACTCTTCCAAGCAGTCTTTCCCGAGAGGTTCTTGTCAACCCTCTTCGCCGAGGGAGCGGGGCTTGTATACATGTGACTGCGCAGGGTCATGAGAGCCAGGTATGTGTCCGCCACGCCACCCCAGAACGGAGAAATGGAAGGCGCCGATGGCATGGCATGGTGGATGGAGGATCTGCGACCCGCCTGGGGTTGGGGGATGTTTGTGTTTTTCTTTTTCTTTTCTCCGGAGGGTCGTCATATTCAAGCAGGTGTGGAAGTGTGCACACGCGCGCACTCAACCCTTTAGCCAACAACCTTAGACCTTATCTCCAGCGCACAAGCAAACGTAATTTTACTTGTCATGAAAGTCCCTAACGCCCTGAGCCCCAAAAGCCAACAGACCCAAACAGTCATCGCTGCTTTGAGAGGGCGGACTGGGCACTCACACCTTTTAACCACGGCACAAATTTCTTGGGGTTAGGATCGGCTGTCAAGGCAGGTAGTAGATGGCAGGCAGCTAGCTGCCGCCCTTTGCTGAGGAACGGCAACGCAGGGCCCGGGCAAGCCGGCGTCACCTACAGGTCCGTGAAAGAATGCCAGAGCCCCACGAAGCTGATAGCTGTCTCTTTAGGGCCGCGGTTGAAGAGTTGCAAGGACCCGGCCGTGACTCGTTCATCGCGCTCTCTGTCCTTTCTATTGCACTCCCAAAACAGGACACGAAAGTTCCGGAAATAAGGCCGGAAACAAGGGCGCGAAATGGGATTGTGGCCTTGGAAGCATGCGGAAGGGCTTGTGGAAGCACATCTCCGCGGGAAAGGTACACTACGTTGTGTACTGCGTGACTACGCACTGCCCAGAAATTGCTACAACACTCATTGTGGAACTCAGATGAGTGAATATATTGAGAGTTGGGCGTTCCGGAACGAACCAGGATTCCCAACCGCCACCTCAGCTCGAAAAGGCGCGCGCGCGCGCGCGCGCGCGCGCGCGCGCGGGGGGGGGGGGGGGGGGGGGGGGGTGGGGGGGGGGATTCAAAATCTGATTTCTAAGTTTGCGCATCGGCTTTCCCAGAGACCCCCTATAGAGGGTCTCTGTCCGCCGCGTTTGACGCGAACTTGGCGGAAGCTTTGCGGAAACTGCACGGAACCCGTGTGTCAATCTCAGGGCCTGTGCCTTTCCTTTTGGGTCCGTGCTTTGCGACACGTCACTTCAGCTTTGTAAGCTCAAGATAGCTCAAGCAGTATGCCAGAAAGTCTGCCGTAGGAAGCGTGCAGCAACATAGCAACGCTGCTCCAAGCATCTCAGATCCGCGCGAACCCCTTACATCCCACACCCGGCCTATCACCAACAAAGCCTTATGCACGTTCCGATTTATAGGGTTTAGGGTTTAGGGAGCCTTCGGAGCAGAGTCTGGGTTCAAAAGGGAGCCCTCTAACCTGCAGCCCCCCCCCCCTCTTGATCTACAACCATATCCCATGAGAAGACCCCATAAAAGCCGAGTTCTTTATTCTCCGCGGAACTTCCGCGTGTACTGGTTCTACTGGTTCTACTGGTTCGGGGCGCCTGCTTTTGCCAACGCTTCCGTGAGCTCATTCCGTGAAGTTTTGCCCTGCTAACGGACACTGGTTTTTTGGGTTTTGATGAGGGAGCATGGTAACTCGGCGACTGGTAGATTGAAATTCTGGATTGCTTTGCCTCAGGCACCGATCGAGAACGAGCGCGAAATCTCCACATATTCAAGCTGAGACAGGACTGGCAGGTAAATCGCAATGTCCGATTGAAGCCAATGAAGGGTTTTCCGCGGACATTCGGCTCGTGAAAGGAATGGTTCGATTCGTCAAGAGGTCGGGGTGATCCGAAGATTTGTGCACAGAAGCCTTTTGCACCCCCGTTTGCGTGCCGCTTTGAAATACATCCAGAACGCTCAAGAACCCGACGCTTCCTCTTTAGGGCTTCTTTTCGGGTAGGAATTACGGTCTTTCGGGCTTCTTCAGGGTCAGCAAGTATGGTCGGGGCTCTTTCGTCACCACGTTGTGAGTGTTGTGCGTTACCATTTGCTTTCGGAGTCTGCGTGGTCGACATGCGTCGACGGGTGCACAGTCATCATGCGCAAGTACGCAGTACTAAAGTCACTGGAGCCGTTATTTCCCGAAAGCGTTTTCCGTGCTGCAAATGTCTCTTCCTCGTTTTCCTCACTCTGCTCCATACAGTTCGCGTAGAGCAGCAACGCTGGAGCGTCGAAACGCGCGACTACAATTACAATCTATACAGGGTTCTCAGTGTAGGGGTTTAGGGTTCAGGGTTTCGGGAATGTTTAGGGTTTGGGGCTTGTGCTTCCTGACTCCTTTCTGCTCTTTCGACTTGGCATTTGAGCCTCAGGAAAAACCCCAAACCCCAATCATTATTCAGGGTTTACTTTGGCACACTTGAGCTGACGAGACCTTACGAATCGAAGCACAAATCGTCCAGGCCACTCTCTTTGACCCTTGGATGCAGAACTTTTAAAGACCAAACCCTTCTGGTCACAAGAAGCAAGAAGGATTAAGTTCAGAAGAGGGTTGCCGCAGAGGAGCACTCGGTGAAGGCCGGCGTCGCTTCCTTGGCTGCGGACTGACAGTGGTTTCGGGTCCAGAATCGTCATGCCGTCATGCGGTTTAGGGCCGTGGCTTTGTGTGGTGTATCTTCGGATAGGGTGAGTCCGGACTGACTTGCGTGCCGTGTTGGTGCTGCATGCTGCAACTACAGCTTCACACGCCGCCGCCAAAACTGCATCCAGCACTCTACAAGCGTTCTGCAGTGAAGCAGACATTGGGCATGAACAGGAGCATCACAAGTAGGCACGACTGTAGAGCAGAAGAGATTCAGGGTTCAGAGGGTTCAGAGGGCTCAGAGGGATCTCAGATGTGAAAGGACGCGCTGAAGGGTTACTCTGCCGGAGTCCCGGACGTCGTGGCAGGGATCCCCAGCTTTCTCAGGGGCCCCAATTTTTTTCTCAAATAACGAACCCTGCATGCCAAGGGCTGGGTCTCGGCCTGTGCTACCCTAAGTTTTCAACCCTCCTCTCAAGGGCGGCGTAGAAGGCTTCACCACTTTGCATGCGCACTCGCTAATTCCCCAATGTCTGGGATCCCTCAGAAGGGGCCCTCAACCTAGCCTTCGTGTGTCTCCTGCTCCCAACCCAGAGAGTCTCCATTTCCGTCCTCTTCTGAGACTCCTGCCTGGGTTTTGTCTCGGGCTATTCAAGGGGGGAACCTAGGAGGGGGGGTAGTATAGAGGGGGGGTGTAGTGGCCCTAGGGTTAACCCTAGACCCTAGTTTTGGGGGGTCTGAGTTCCGGCGCAGGATCTGCGTTGAGAGTTTCAGCGATGTTCGACCTGCCTCCTCCAAGGCTGTCAGCTTGATGTTATGGCTCGATTGTTGCTTCTTCCTGGGTTCCTCCTCCCTCAAAGGTCTGCACATCTCCCGAGCCAGGCTTTCTCGCACCCTGCAGGGTTTAGGGTTTAGGGTTTAGGGTGCCCTCATCAGCCCAGTTCCTGGCGACTCAAAGCGGTCCATGCTTCTGCTCCAAGCATCTCGAGAAGTATTCCTAAACCAGCGTTGAAAAGCCGACCACCGAACACCGTGAAAAGAAAACACCTTAACACCCGAAAGGTTTAGGGTTTAGGGTTTAGGGTTTAGGGTTTAGGTTATAAACCCTAACCCCTAAACCCTAGCCCAAAACCCCAACAGCCTAAACTCCACTGTTGGTTTCCTCCCCCCACCAAGGTCGCACCGATGGGCGCCGGCATCTTGAAAAAGCCGGGCAGCTTAATCGCTGACATTGGCGCCGCCCTCAGCTGAGTGGGGGGGAGGGGGAGGCGGGGGGGGGGGCTGTTTAGGCAGTTTGGGCAGTTTTGCGGCTCCTTCGCCTGGGATTGAGGTGGTCATGAGTGGCAGCCTCAAGCCATCCCGTCCCGTAGTGATTCCTGTTTGGCCAATACGCCAGAGCCCGAAGCTCCCAAGCTCCCCAACACCGCCCAAGTCGGCAGGCTCCTATGCCTTCTCGTTGTTGAAGGCGTATTTTGACATGGAGCAGAGCGGGCGGCCAGGCGGAGAATCCAGATCATCGAAACTGCCGTGTGGGCATGCCATGGGGTTGTTGTTTCCCCTCACAACCCCGAAACCCTACACCGCAAACCCCGTTTTGTCCCGGGGTGTCATATCCGAACCCAGGCACGAGAAGCAATACACCACAGCGATCGACAGGGACTGCAATCCCATTCAGCGCCATGGCAGAGACTTTTTCGGGGTTCAGATTTTTTTGAAAACCAAGCGGAGCCACAGGTCCCAAATCCCCAAAGGCAGTGGGACGCCGAAGTTCTGAACATCAAGACGTTGAAGCAGCCCGAACCCTCCAAACCCTTTTTACAGCCTTCCCTCAGCCTCTTGAAAGATCTTTCTTGTTGTCATGTCAGAAGCCCTGACCCTTATGCAGGCACGGCTTTGCTCGTACCTTCTGCGACCTTCACTGCATCCGCGATGCCGTTAGATGCTGGGACAGTCATATGGGGTGCACGAAGCCAAAACTTAGGCACCAAAAAAATGTTCAGACCTTGGGAAGAAGTATAGACAGGGGCATAAAGTAACCAATGGTTGTTTCGAAGTCGCTTCCATCTTTTTCTTCATGTTGCAAGGATTTACGGCGTTGCCACTCTATTCTGAGGAAAAGGTGACGATGCCATTCTGCGGGCACTGGAGGATGCGGTTGAGATCGTCGGGAAGAATACGCAGATTCTTTTGGAGCATTATGTTGCCTGGCTGAAATCAAGCCGAGTTCACTTGTGCGCACACACACACCACCTTTTTGTCGACCCATGCTAGCGACTGCACGAGGGTAGACCTCCAACCCCCAAAGCTTGGTGAATGTTTCAAGACCTAAACCCTCGACCGTTCGAACTACAACAGGCGCTGCTAAATGGCAGACCATGGGACGTCTATTTGACAGCAAAGTTGCCGTGTGTCATTTTTTCGGTTTACGCCTACGGCTGATTTTAGATCCCAGTTGCGTGTGCTTGATCTCATGACTCAACATTCGCGTCGTAGCACACATAAGCATCGCGCACGCAGCAGCATCGGGCCATGAGCATGCGGCCCTCCAGCCCTAGATCTCTGAACCCTAAACTCCTAAAACCCCAGCCCCTAAACCCCAAACCCTAACCCCCCAAGCCTAAACCCTAAATCCTCTCAGGTTGGCCAGAACTCGGGCCACACGGCCCTGAATGAAGAGGCACATACCGGAATTGTAAGCTTTGATGCTTTCATGAAGCTTTCACGCGCGATGGTGTGCTCATGATTCCGTGGGTTACTGTGTCTTGAGCACCCTTCCCTGCCCCTTCCACCCCGTGCCTTTGCCAGGGCGTTAGGGTTTGGGAGGGGGGGTTTCTGGAGATAAGCGCTTCGCTATGCTTTGGTCCGTGGAGCGAATAAGCAAATGCAACGTCGCTTGTATTCTAGAGTCACACACATAGGTATACAGACCTATGCATACTTATGAAGGAAAAACGTATGCATGGATGTTTGTGTATGTATGTGTAGGCTTATACCGATTAGGTTTATGCAAAATGCGCCTAACACGAAACAAAG